AGCATTACCAGCAGATCGAGGGACATGATCATTCCCCTCTATTCGGCATTGGTCAGGCCTCATCTGGAGTACTGTGTCCAGTTTTGGGCCCCACGCTACAAGAAGGATGTAGAAAAATTGGAAAGAGTCCAGTGAAGGGCAACAAAAATGATTAGGGAGCTGGAGCATGTAATTTATGAGGAGAGGCTGAGGGAACTGGGATTATTTAGTCTGCAGAAGAAAAGAACGAGGGGGGATTTGATAGCTGCTTTCAACTACCTGAAAGGGGGTTCCAAAGAGGATGGATCTAGACTGTTCTCAGTGGTACCAGATGACAGAACAAGGACTAATGGTCTCAAGTTGCAGTGAGGGAGGTTTAGGTTGGATATATTAGAAAAAACTTTTTCACTAGGAGGGTGGTGAAGCACTGGTATGCGTTACCTAGGGAGGTGGTGGAATCTCTTTCCTTAGATGTTTTTGACAAAGCCCTGGCTGGGATGATTTAGTTGGGGATTGGTCCTGCTTTGAGCAGGAGGTTAGACTAGATGATCTCCTGAGGTCCCTTCCAACCCTGATATTCTATGATTCTATGTTGAAGTCCCTAATTGCACTGTAAGCAGAATACATCTGTGCTCAGCCCCCCTGCAGCTGATACAAAACTGCTTGCCATGCCCTTCCCAAACTCCTCCTACCCATTCCTTGCATCTTTCTGGCTGTCTCAGTTCCTCATTCATTCTACCCCTTCAGACAGCTTCCAAAATGATAGTTGGAGTGACACAGCTATGGGAGCCTACATCAGGACACTGCCCTTCACTGTTATTTGACTTTCCACCAAGCATTTTCTGTGTGTTGTTAATGGGTTTTTAATAAAAACACACTCGCTGAAAGATAATCAATCTTTATTTGTCTACATATGGTGGTTGCTGCTGTGTCTACACTGACACTTTGTCTATATAACTTTGCCGCAAAAAGCTCTATGCCTCTCATTGAGGTGGTTTTATTTTGTCGGTGAAGCAGAAGAGTTTTGTCACCGGAAGGAGCATTGTTGTAGTGTGTACAGCTCCACTGTTTTGTCGACGAAAGCTGACTTTTGTTGACAAAACTCTGTAGTGTAGACAAGGCCTAATAAAGCACATTTTTACCCCAAAGGTTCAATCTTTGGCAGTACTGATGCCAAAGGAGCTAGAACTCAGTCTTTCATGAAGCACCCCTGCTCATCAAGGTACCTCCTCAGCGAATGGACCCAGAGTGTCTTTTTCCACTCTATTATCTACTGAATCAGTCTTTTGTTTTTATTCACAGCAAGGCCAACCCCCCTGCTGTCATATTGTTCCTTTTCACTTCCAAGTGGTTTTGATGTTTTTATAGTTTATCTTTGAGGTTTTCCCATTGACTTTTATGGGTTGGTGCAAAGGTGGGCAATCAAACAATACATTACATAATTAGCTAGCCAGGGAGGGGTAGCAACTCCCTCCTGCTTGAATGGGCCATCACTGAGACATATGATTCCCTGGTGACTCACTTTTACCCCCGAACTGTAAGGGCATAATTTTCAATATAGTTACATTATTCTTTAAATATTACCCATACACACATCTCACAATGATTATGAGTATTGATAAGTTGCAAGCTTTCAGTAGAGACCTCATATAATTACCCTTTATGGATAAATACCGTGAAAGTGGTGTATTTGGTGTAGTGAGTTTCTCAGGTTTGAGACAGGAGTTGCTTGTAAAGAACAGTGAACCCTTTGCCAGTGGGCACCAGAGGGCATTGTGTCACAACATGTATAGCGGATAATGCCTGTCTTAAGAATAGGGACACTGAAATCTCTTTAAGTATCTTTACAATTATTTGGAAATGATCTATCTGTTTTGAAGGAACACATATGAAAGAACACCACTAGCTCCTTTTTTGTTGTTGATTTTACTCTCCGTTATTTCTACTACTACTTAGAAGATGTAGGCTAGCATTCCTTTCCATTACGTCTTTTGCCTTTTCTCTGAAGCTCATGCTGATTTACCCCCTTCCCCTCTGTATGTGTAATGGTCTTGAAAGCAACATGGCTTCCCAAAAGATATTGTCTACTTCATCCACAAGTTATTTGGTCATAGTGTTCAACATAGTAGAGAAGAATAAAATAGAGGCTCAGATACTACAGTGATGGGCAGCAATATAACTCACCCCCCCCCCAAGTGCCATCAGCAGTGACTCCTGCAGAATTGAACAGGGCTCTTGGAATAATGGGCCACATCCTCAGCTGATGTAAATCAACATGACTCTGCAGAAAAGGACCTGGGGATTACAGTGGATGAGAAGCTGGATATGAGTCAGCAGTGTGTCCTTGTTGCCAAGAAGGCCAACAGCATATTGGGCTGTATTAGTAGGAGCATTGCCAGCAGATCGAGGGAAGTGATTATTCCCCTCTATTCTTCACTGGTGAGGCCACATTTGGAGTATTGTGTCCAATTTTGGTTCCCCCACTACAGAAGGGATGTAGACAAATTGGAGAGGGTCCAACGGAGGGCAATGAAAATGATTTACGGGTCTGGGGCACATGATTTATGAGGAGAGGCTGAGGGAACTGAGCTTATTTAGTCTGCAGAAGAGAAGAGTGAGGGGGGACTTTGATAGCAGCCTTCAACTACCCAAAAGGGGATTCCAAAGTGGATGGAGCTCAGCTGTTCTCAGTGGTGGCAGATGACAGAACAAGAAGCAATGGTCTCCAGTTGCAGTGGGAGAGGTCTAGGTTGGATATTAGGAAACACTATTTCACTAGTAGGGGTGGTGAAGCACTGGAATGGGTTACCTAGGGAGGTGGTGGAATCTCCATCCTTAGAGGTTTTTAAGGCCCGGCTTGACAAAGCCCTAGCTGGGATGATTTAGTTGGTGTTGGTCCTGCTTTGAGCAGGGGGTTGGACTAGATGACCTCCTGAGGTCTCTTCTAACCCTAATATTCTATTATTCTATAACTCCATTAGAACTACACTATTTACACTGGCTGAGGATCTGATCCAGTGTTTCTTAGTTAATAACTGCTTCCCTTATCAAACCACACTATTTATTTACTGGAAAACCTCTTCTATAATAAATTCCCAAGTGGATTTTTAAAAAATAACTTAGTTTTTGACCAAATTTTAAATTTGTGGGTTCTGCCTTCAATTTCTGGTTGAGACTTATACAGGAGGGTGTTGTTCCTGATGACATGTGGGCAGAATATCCAGGCAGCACACATGCAGCTGATAAATATATTCCCACTCTCTGCCTAGGAGTAAGAAAATGTTTTGCTCCTGCTTGAAGGCTCTAGCACAGGAGGTGAGGGAGGGTGGCAGATTTCTAGTGGAGCCAGAGGTCAGCTATCTTATGTTGTTTTTCCTCCATCAATGTGAAGGGGTGAAGAAGCCTTTCGAACCCGGAGCATCCCAGCTCTTTATCAATCAAGGGAAGCTCCAGAGTCATTTTATAGTGGTCTTTCTTGCTGCTTCAGTTATATCATAAAACTCAAATTTAAGGCAGCCTGTTTATTTTTTCTGTTTCTCCCCTTCCTGCCCAATGGCTTACTAATGAACCAATCCCTGCAACAAACCCCGTTGCCAACTCTGTCCGCATGTCTATTCATGGGACACCATCACAGGACCTAACCACATCAGCCATACCATCAATGGCTCATTCACCTGCACATCTACCAATGTGATATATGCCATCATGTGCCATCAGTGCCCCTCTGCCATGTACATGGCCAAACCAGACAGTCTCTATGCAAGAGAATAAATGGACACAAATCAGACATCAAGAATTGTAACATTAAAAAACCAGAAGGAGAACACTTCAGTCTCCCTGGACACTCAATAACAGACTTAAAAGTGGCAATTGTTCAACAAAAAAAACTTCAAAAACAGACTTCAACAAGAAATTGCAGAACTGGAATTCATTTGCGGACACCATCAAAATAGGCCTAAATAAAGACTGGGAGTGGATGGGTCACTACAAAAAGTAATTTTCCCTCTGCTGATACTCACACCTTCTTGTCAACTGTTGGAAATGGGCGATGTCTACCTTGATTGCATTGGCCTCGTTAGCACTACAAAAGTAGTTTTCTCTCTGTTGATATTCACCCCTTCTTGTCAACTGTTGGGAATAGGCCACTTCCACCTTAATTGAATGGGCCTCATTAGCACTGACCCCCGACTTGGTAAGGCAACTCCCATCTTTTCATGTGCTGTACTATATATACTGTTTATTGTATTTTTCACTCCATGCATCTGATGAAGTGGATTTTAGCCCACGAAAGCTTATGCCCAAATAAATTTGTTAATCTTTAAGGTGCCACAAGGACTCCTCGTTGTTTTTGCTGACTAACACGGTTTGCAGACTAACATGGTTACCACTCTGAAATAATGTACATTCAGTTTCACATAAGCCTGCCTAATTGTTAGCATACAATTTGGATCACATTTGTAATGTTTGTATTCAAGGATTGTTTGTTATACATTTGTATTGGGCAGTGCTTGAATAGAGAGAGAGAGAGAGAGAGAGAGATTTATAACTTTTTTTAAATCGCTATACAGCCGTCTTATAAAATAATCATATATATAATTATTATATGATTATATGAAATCTCACATTTAGGACTTGATCCAGCAAAGTGCTAAGCACCTCTGAGGCTACTCAGCACCATGCATGACTTGGCCCGTACTCAGCTGTTTGTGAGTAGTATCTAAACAACCATTTTTAGAAACTAAATTTATATTAATAAATGATAATGCATAGGTATTTGTGACAAAATGATAAGCGTGACCTACAGAGCATTAATATAAATACAGATGGACTGTATTTATATTAATACAGATGGACTGTATTTATATTAATGCTCTGTAGGTCATGCTTATCATTTTGTCACAAATACCTATGCAGGATGTGCATTCAAATTTTTTATAACACCTCATCACTCAATAAAAAGGGCACTTCATAATATTCCAATCATGTATAAAATAAATAATAAACTCGTATTTCATATACAGGAAAGTTATTGCAAGTCAATTCTGGTGCCAAAGAACAACTGTTTTTTGAAGCACCAAGAGGAAAAAGACATATTATAAGAGCTGCTGAGGTATGGATCATACTAATTACATTTTCTGATTACTTCACTCAGTACTAACTTGAAGGTTTTATATTGTGAATGTTGTTATATGCTACTGCTGAAAATTAGTGTATTACTTATTTAAATAGTATGTCTTCTTCATATACCTTCCCCTATGCTACCGCACTTTTAAGTTTACAAAGTGCATCACAGATATTAGTGAATTTTCACAACAGCCCTGTGAAGTAGGCCTTTGTAAGTATTATAACATACAGATGTTACATATACAAAAGTTGATCCTTATAATGGATATAATTAGAACTGCTTAATCACTCAGTATCATACCTTTTATGCAGCTACATTACTCTAAGCACTTAACAAACATTAGTATTTCAAAATTAGAACCATTTCAGATAAGCACTTTAATTCAGATCTGATCAAATATTGTAAATATTGTGGGTGAGATTTTCAAAAGGACTTGGCATTGAACTAACTTTTCTCTCCCATTGAAATAAGTTGAAAAGTAGATTAAAAAGTGCAAATTTACTAAAATTCTCACAATAAATCTCAGAATGAAATTACATGAGTGCAGAAAAGACAACACCAAATTTTCCATCACCTGCAATATCTGCAGGTGCATCCATTTGTTCTTTTAGAAGAAGGATTTATGTGCAAATATGTATTTGTGCATTCCAGACAAGTAATTCCACATAATCTCTTTGCATGAACTTGTTTTATATTTAATCTGTGTGCAGGCAATTTAAGTGCAATGTAGGAAGCTACTTTTAAAAGCGTGTGGCCTCATTTTTAAGGGATGCTGAACACCTGCAACTCTCAATAACTTTAATGAGAGGTGCCGATATTCATCACCTCCGAAAATCTCTAAACAGTTTAAATCCAAATGCTAATGACCAATGATCTCTCCCTGGAGAATAAAAAATGTATAGCAAAAAAGTAAAATACCAGGAACTCTACCTTGTAGTATAGCAGTTTTAATAAAGGTAATAAATGGTATTTAGCATTAATCATCTGGAAATAAACATACTGTAAGCTAACAAAAACAAAAAATCATTTTGGCCAAGCCCATATGCAAGTTGATCTATCAAAACTAGTTTGTTAGTTTCGTAGTTCAAGAGAAAAATGTAACAACTCAAGCAGTGTATTGGACATTTGTCAAGATTACTTTGTTTTGGGAATTTTTGTTTCCAGATAGAGAAGATTGAATGGGATACCTGGACATGTGTTCTTGGTCCTACTTGTGAAGGAATCTGGCCCATGCATAGTGATGTCACTGTTGTAAATGCAGCTACTCTGACAAAAGATGGTTCACTGTTAGCTACAGGAGATGACTTTGGTTTTGTGAAGCTTTTTTCATATCCTGTGAAGGTAATAAATAGTATTTACTCATCAGATTAGAAGCCGTGTTGGAAAGGGAAGTGGGGAAAATTTCTGTAGGAAAATGTGAAAAATGAATAGTTTAAGTGATAACATGTATTCTTTATATTTCAGGGACAACGTGCAAAGTTCAAGAAGTATGTGGGTCATAGTGCCCATGTAACCAACGTTCGATGGTTACATAATGATTCTGTGCTACTGACTGTAGGTGGTGCTGATACTGCTTTGATGATCTGGACTAGAGAGTTTGTGGGCATCCAAGAGAGTAAACTGGTTGACAGTGAGGAGTCAGATACAGATGCAGAAGAGGATGGAGGTAAAAGAAGAATATGCAAAATACATATTAAATGTAGCCCTGATCTCACAAAGACTCACATATGTTCTTAACTTTAAGCATGTGAGGAATCCTATTGAGTTCAATGGGACTCCTCATGTGCTTAAAGTTAAGTACATGCTTAAAGTTAACTATGTGTAAGTCTTTGTAGGATCAGGACCTAAGGGTATGTCTATACTACCCACTGGATTGGCGGGTAGTGATCGATCTATCGGGGATCAATTTATCGTGTCTAGTGTAGACACAATAAATCGATCCCCGATCGCTCTGCCATCGACTCCTGTACTCCACCACGGCAAGAGGCGGAAGCAGAGTTGACGGGGGAGCGGTGGCAGTCGACACCGCGCCGTGAGGGTGTGAGGTAAGTCGACCTAAGATACGTCGACTTCAGCTACGCTATTCTCGTAGCTGAAGTTGGCTCTTAGGTCAAGCCCCCCTCCCGGAGTGTAGACCAGGCCTTAGACTGCTTCTGTTGTTGCAGATCTTTCTATTTCTTATTTCTCCAATACAAAATTGAAAACAAACTACACAGGTGTCATTTTATTTTTCACATTATTAAAGGTTATGACAGTGATGTTGCAAGAGAAAAGGCTATTGATTATACAACAAAGATCTATGCAGTAAGCATCCGAGAAATGGAAGGAACAAAGCCACACCAGCAGCTGAAGGAGGTTTCAGTTGAGGAAAGGTATGGCATGCAAAGGCATTCATTTCCATATATTCAATAAATTCTTCTGACTTTGCTTTTATTGAACTAAAAAAAGTCTGTTATAAATATTGACAAGACAGCATTTTAAAATTCTTATGTCCCAGTGCATCATGGGTTAAATTGGGGATATGTTTGTGTGCCTTGGGCAGTGGAGAAGGGTTATTTGTTAATCACAGAGGTGTCAATCTTTTTTTCTTCCAAATTCATGTTTACGGTCTTACGTATTCTTACTTTTAGATATGAAGTAAAACAGTAAACTTAAGGTATCCCCAAATAGGAAGTAATATCTGCTAGTCTTTGTGAACTTACATCTTCAAAATTACAGAATGAAATCAAATCAAATCTCAAGTTAAATGAGTTGACATGATTCATCTTGATATCTAGAGGATGTTTGTCCTTATCATTAAACCATAGAATTCAGCAGTCTGCCTTCAAGAGTGGTTTAGGACATGAATAAAAAGGGCATTACTGATCAGATCTGAACTATACTGTGCTCTTTGGGAAGATGCTCATTTTTTGAAATATTTATTCTTTAAAAATATTCCCATTCATCTGTGCATTTGGTTTCAGTACCAGCCTTATATCCTATAAATTCCTTGTGAGCATTTTTGAATTCCCCTTCTATCTTTTACATGGCTGCTGTATGCTCTCTTAATTAGTGTGTGTTTGTTTTAAAAAGATGGAACTGGTAGCATCACCTATAGTTTAGGTTGCCTGACCATTTCCATTATAAGACAGTAAGAAGGAGGAAGTAGTCCTATAGGAATGCAGAGGAGTGAGAAATTGGGAGGAAGATAAGGAGAGAGGGGTGTTGCAGAAGCCAGAGGATGAGAAGTTGCAAAAGGGATGTGGGAAAGGAACCAAGGTGGAGCAGAGGGGAACAGAGACAGGCCAGGGACAGAAGAGTTTGTTCTGTAACCACTACAGCATGCTTCCCTACAGAACCAGGTATTGAACCTAGGAGTCCTGAGTTTCTACATTATTCTGCTTTGAGCAAATCACTGGCATTACTCTGCTGTGAAAGCACTGGCAGAGTATGTGGCTAATCCACATGGAGGATAACACTCTAGTACTGCTACCAGTTACTATGTTAGCTCAAGTAGCAAAAGTCTGTGCTGTGGATCTAAAAGTCTGAACCCTACTGATGACTCAGAAGAGGAAACCATGTAGTGACCTGGCTGGAAGAGCATCATGAAGAGGAGGCTGCAGTTCTTGGAGTGAGAGGAGCTGCAGCATGAGATAGGATGTGTGAAGACACCATCAAATAGGGGTGTGATGCCTGGCAGAGCTAATCCCCAGGACAACCAAGGGGAGGCGCCGCTAGCAATGAGAGCTTCCCAGGACAGTCTCTCACAGAGATTTACCCAAAGTCCTTCCATGCAAACCATCTCAGGTCGCCTTCTCCAGCACTGTCTTGATGGTGCCTCTTCCCCAGTGGCTGGTAGGGGAACTCTGGCCTGCCCAGTATTCTGGGTCCCAGTCCAGGGACACAGAACCCAGCAGTTCTGGGCTTTACTCTCTCAGCCCTCACTAACTTTTGAGTGCTTGACTTTGCAGCTTCATCTTTTTTAAAAAAAAATGTAATTCTCTAATTAAGAAAAAAACCTAAAAAAACCCAGAAATTCCACCCCCAACCCTCACCCCCTCCCATACGCCAACCCTCTCCCCCACATACCATGAACCCCTAATTTCTGGCCCCACCCTGGAGCCCACACCCCCAGCCAGAGCACTCACTCTCTCCTTCACCCCAACCCCCTGCCCCAGCCCAGTGAAAGTGAATGAGGGTGGTGGAGAGCAAGCGATGGAGGGAGGGGGGAATAAGTGGGGGGCAGGGCCTTGGAGAAGAAGGGGCAGGGACAGGGCCTCAGGGAAGTGTCACAATTTATTTTTATTTTTTAATTAGTACCACCTACCAATAAAAAATTGGGGGGCATAGTTTTGTTATTTACTGTAGTTCTTGCAAGTAAATAGAAAAAAGAGTAGGTTAATAACTACTTGGCAATTATCAGGTGACTCCATATTTAAAGGAGCTCAAATATTCTATACATTATGTGGCATTTGCAGTGCAATGCAAACTGTGTGCTATGTGGAACTTCAAATTGGACATCAAACCTGGAAATAGAAATAGGATACACTGGAAATTAAAATGGATTAACGATATGTATTTTTGTGATTTACTAGTTAGAGCACAGGACTCAGTCAAGAACCCTGGATTCTATTCTCAGCTTAATTTTCTTGCATGTAGTTCAGCTGCTTTTATTGTTGTTTTTAAGGATGTGATGGGTTATATGGTGGACCTATTTAGTATACTACTTTAAAAAAAATCAGATTCTTATATTAGGCCCTGATTTTGGAAAGCCTCTAAACCTGTTCTTAAATCCACCTCTATTCAGGAAAGCACTTAAGCATTTTCTTAAGTTCTTTTGAAATCAATGAGACTTAAGCACATATTTAAACAAATGCTTAAGTGCTTTCCTGAATAGAGATGTTTTCCTGGGTCAAGACCTCATGCTGCACAGAAGGAATTCATTGCAAAATACACAGCTAAAATTTTCAGACTGGCGTGCTTAAAATTGGACACCTATATCTATATGTAAGCACTTAAAATCCCCTACATTTCCCATTGACTTTAATGGAAGCTCTGGATGCCCAGCATCTCAGAAACCAGGTCATTTATTTAAGTGCCTAAATGAAAATATAGGCACCTAATCCAAATTTGAAAATTTTGGCCCACATATTTTGGGACCCATAATTTTTGGAACAAAGACATGAAGTCCCAGAGTTCATGTGTTTTTAAAAATTTACGTTTGGGCATCATTTCCTCCCCTGCTTTCACCATATGTACATCTTCTCTACTTTCTTAGTAACAAAATCCTTGTATTTCATTTTATCTTTCTGTAAAATGTGTATAATGATACCTACTGTACATCAACATTTTGAGGTTCATTTAGAAATGTTAAATTTTAATTGTGGGAGAATAGACCTAAGTCAGTAGTATGCATGGAATACCACACTGGGTCCAGAAAACACAATTCCAGAATATACTGGGCCACGTTCCCTCATATGTTCTGGCTGCTTATGCTGCTTGGGTGATACAAAGTAGCTGTATATTCAGTTTAACTTACTAAAAATCTGGTTTACACCTGTTTTGCATTGTTGGCGCATCAAAAGCAGCCATGGCATACTCATGAATCTGACCCACCTTGTTTACAAGACTACTAAATCTTCATCATTACATTAATGATTGGTGGCATAGGAGATACATGTTTCCTCATTATATGATATATTGGCCCAGATTTCCCCTCACATTTGGATTGCTTTGTGCTATTAATCCGTACAAAACAACATTACAGCTGCTGCAGTTAGCTGTGGGAGAATCAGACCAGAGCAGAGGGATTCTCTGGTGAAGCAGAGCCAGTAGACCTGCTCCTACATCGCTCCCCCTGCCTCTAGCTGTGATAGGGAACACAGCCTAGGGAAGGGAGGTGCTTTGTTCCAGTAGTCCCCAACTGTTATAATAACTTCTTGGCAATCAGTATAAATTAGAACACCACTCAAGCTGCTGTAAACTATTGCAGAGGACAATCCACCCCACAGCCAGCCTGAGATTGAGAGAGTACAATCGTAGCTTACAACATCCCCCATCTGTTGTGCACTATGTGTTCTTCAGCTATTGTTTCTGTCTAATAATCAAGATTAGCATATTACATTTTAACAGCTATCTGAAATTTTTCAAAAATCCCTTATAATGCAGATTAAGAGCTGCATTTTTCCATGTGTTTCACAAAAGATTCACAGGCTGATGTTCATATTTTTATATATGAAAGGTATGGTTTGGGTTACTTTATATACATGGAATTTGCAGATCTGATGACCTTATTGTGGATCACACACATTTCATATGTAGCTTACTGGATAAAAATATGTGTTAAACATATACAAATCATATTTGATACACATTTAGTTCATCTGAATTATATGTGCAAGTAACAAATAAATATGACTCATACATATTATGATAAAAAGTTTCTTCAGTCTGAATTAGGTAGTTTGTTTTTATATGAGACCATCAAACAATACAAATAATTATGAATTATCCCAAGATACTAATCACTACTAATCATTATGTTCCTATATGCAACCTAGGCATGTATTAACCGAGCTCAAGGACAGAGTTCACAATTTACAAGATCAGTGGCCAAATATGTCAAGGTATTTGAAGCATTCATAGACACCTGCTTCTCTGAGGCCAATGGTACAGGATCTGCTGAAAGTGTGTTGAAGTTGAGACATAGGGGTGCAAGCCTCAATTCCATTACATTTTATGCTCCCATGATATTAAGGGCTGACAGTATTGTTGGCATTGAGACTAGATTTCAATACATCAGTGCAAAACTTTTCAGTACAAATTAAGTGAACACATCAGACTGTCCATTATTTCTTGCTGTGTTCTTCAGTCAAAGATCTGATCCATCTGTTGCTATCACACCTTCAATTGCCTCAGCACAGTCATCGACCTTCTTATGTCAGGAATAAAAGACAGAGTCAAGTATAAAGTGGAGTTCCATTAGTGCAGAGCAGGTAAAGCTTCACTTGACATGGAGTTGGTATTGATGGCCAGAGTAGTGCATTAAGTCATCAAAAATTCTAGAGCCGTTATACATTAAGATTAAATTGATGAATTGTCTGTTGATGGCCGAAAGGGGGTTTTTGAGGTCTGGCTTTGGGACCAATCTGGCTGATACATGCAACACTGATGTAGAACCTCCAGGTCTGCTAGGCCGACCTTATATTAGATGTCTGGGAAACATCAGAGGAGGCCCAGAGAGGCTAGATGGGAGCTAACAACTTGCAAGGATATTTGGAAGCAAGTCTCATAGCTGTGCCAGTCAAACTCTTTTCCTGGGCTCAAGATTCAACGTTTATGCCAGTCTGTGAGGGACATGTCCAACCACACTCTGAACACTTCCTAAAGATGC